TAAAAGATAAAAGTAAATTTCTACTTATAATGGATGATAGATGAGTTTAAAATTTATGAGAATAAAGTATGAAACTAATATATCTAGAAAATACAATTCTTTGATGAAAGAACAACTTATGTTCATATATTTTAGTGTAAATTATGAGAAAATGGTATGAAACTGATATCCCTATGTGATTTCCTATCATAAAGCATGTTATTAGGTTGAGCATTACAATAATTTGCTTGCCCAAAATGTTTAGACTCTTCTAAAGCTTTCACATTAAAACATAGTGGACAAACCTCATGGTTTGAATGTCATCCATTGTTCTTGCTCCCTAATCATGCATTTAGCAGAAGTAAGTTGCATTATTTAAGAATAAATTTGTGGAAAGTACTAGCCCCCTAATAAGTGTCTATGCTTATCAAGCATGAAGATTATCACACATACACACACACACACACACACCAATGGCAAGGTCATAGATAAGGGCTTTGGCTCAAGTATGAAGATCATCATGATCATGACCACCATCATTATATACTCAAGTCCATAACATTACATGTAACTTTTTAAATCTAGTGGTTATGTATCATTTGATATAAATGAAAATTAATACGTAATCACCTTCACTATATTTCTTATATGAATATTTTTAATTGATAGCTTTTACATATTTATTATCACTAATTTCTTTTTTCTTATTTCATATATGCATGAAGACCATAAAAATTGTTTGTGTAAATATAAATACAATATTATGAAAATAAATATATGCAATATCAACTGAATAAAAGACCACTTAGTATCATAGCCTTAAATAATCTAAGAAAGCAATTATATTGTTATCTTAGCAATTATAATATTGTATAAAGATTTATACATATGTAAGTTTAAACAAAATTCTACTATTTGTACCTACTAAATTACTTAATAAATTGTCATATATAAGTTTATAATTACAACTTTCAATTTTCCACTTATATGAGGATTAGTGGACACTACAAATTCCAAGTGAGATCCAACAATTTTTTTTAAATTTTTCTAAAATATGATGCAAATCTAACATCTTTACAATCATAAAAGAAAATTAAAGCCTATTGAGAAATAGATCCCAATATAAAGTACAAAAAGGTGAATTAATTAAAAGGATAATAACGATTCCAAAAAATCAAATCAATATTAAGTTCAACTGGCACCACAACAACCACCTAAAAAAAAGGTTGAGAGAAATACATAAGCAAACTGACCTACAAAACCCATTGCATCAGGTATCAGCCATACAGTAAAGCATCCTTTACCACCATTAATGTCATAAAATTATGTATCTTAAATATAATAATATTTTTTGGCCTTATTTAACTTTCCACTAAAAAATAATTGTGTTGTCAGTTCTGGGTGATTTATGGTTATTCATGCGCACTTTGTTCTTATATTTGTCTCATTTACCATTAATTTGTGTTGGGTGGTATGTGATTCATCTATCTTCTGCCTCCTATTGGAGTAAATGTTTTTGTATGATTTTTTTAGCTATTTTCTAGCAGTTAAGGGTGCTGGGGGCGGTTCTTTCTATCGTGTTTTCTTTTGTTGTTGGGGCTTCCTATTCAGTTGTGTATATTTTAGCTGGGTGGTATTTTCTAGTTGGTGTCATATTTTGGACGCTATATCGGATGCCCTGCAGTTGAGGAAGTATTTGCTCCCTTCTTTAGTTTTTACATCTTTCTCTCTGGCAGGTATATTATTGATGGTTCCTGCCTGAGCTTTCAAGGTTTTTTTTTTTTTGCTATGGCTCTTTTTGGGTGGGGACTTCATGCTTTCCCTAGATTTTATCTTTTTTTCTTGTAATCTAGTTTGGATCTTAGGCTTCTTAGGTTTCTTTTTTTTTATTATTTTTTATTATTATTATTTTATTTTTTTGAGTGTAGCACTTTGAGCATTAGTGGTTTTCGATCCTAGTAAGGACTTGTAACCATTTGTTTTTTGGATTAACACGCATGCCTGGACATGTGTTTTAACCAAATAAATATAAGTAATAATTGAGTATTTTTTATAGAGAAATCTAATTATACTGATCCTAGAAGCATCATAAGTAACCTAAAGAACATCAATTTTCCTAAACTTTTGCTATAATTTTAATGAACTCTAGTTAATCGAAAAGAATTCCATTTATGGAAAATTTATTTTTGAATAAAAACAACCCAAATCATTTCTATAGAAAATGATGAATCTCAATTGTATTTAATAGAAATACGATACCTCAAATTTGAATCTAGCACTAATCAAGATTAGTATCTTATTCACACATAGATTGGATATCCCCTTGAAAGTTGATGATTGTTTTTGTCAACGTAAATCACCAGCTTGATATGTTTAAACTTGTTTCATATTATTATTATTATTATTATTTAAGATATTGAATTAGTTTAATTGCAAACTCATAAACATCTATACGTTAACTTCAAACCCATTGAATTGTTAAACCGACCGCGACCACGATAAGGGCAGAAAGGAGGACTGTATGAACCACGAGCTGGTGTTGCAGCGAGTGCAATAGGAGTTTCTGAGAGCGGGATGGAATGAAGTGTTCGGGCAACCTCATTTTCAAGATTTGTCTCTTCACTACACAACAAGGAATAGAAATCATCCAGATTTAGTGGCTGAAGGTTTGTATGAATAGCTGTCTTGAAAGCTTGATACGATGCAGGCAAGCCGTTTAATGTGTACATAATGACATCCTCAAAATCCAGAATACATCCAACAGCATTGAGAGTATCGACCTTCATCTTGATTTCAGTTAAATACTGCTGCATTATCTTGTTTTTCCATTGAAATGTAATGCAGATCATTCTTAATCTAGAGAATACAGGATCGGTTCGAAGATTGCAAATGTTTCCCGGTCGTTTACCAAATCTCCGAGCAACAATCCAGATTAAGGACATACGGTAACAGAGTTGCCGAGATGGTAGAGAATAATGCTGCAGCTAAGTTTTGATCAATCAGCATCCAGGTGAAAAATAATGGGTTGGGTTTCAATGTACCAGTATCCGAAGAGATTTGCTAGGGAGGGTGACGAGCGGTCCCGTCCAGGTAACCCTCGAAATTGTTGGCTCGAAAAACCTTCAGAATTTGGGACCGCTAGGTGAGATGATTTTCAGAAGTAAGTTGAACTGTGATGACGTTCTTAATTGTAGACATTAAGAACTTCAACTGAGGTGGGATGGTATCTGTTCTGATGATCTGAAAAGACTCGGTGATACTTGTGGCAGAAGAAGAGGAGTTTCCTGATTCCATCTTACGAATGATGTACCATGGAGGAATAGGAGCCATGAGACTTATAGGAGCTCTGATACCATGTGGAAATTAGACCTGCAAAGGAATGTTAGCTAAAACAAAAATAGTGAAGCATAGAGGAAGAAGACTATCGGTTTTTCTCCTTATTTTCATTTCCTTAACTACAGTACATATATATTGAAAGGAATAAACGAAAACTATTATGGGAGAAAGTGTTTTATGCCGCACTTTGTTGTGGACCATGTGGGAATTCTGCTACTGCCGCTAGTGGGCACACATTGATGGCGTGATGACTTGCCATACCATATTAACAGCTGGGGGTGTTGGGGGTAGTTCTTTTTTTTTTTTGTTAAAACCCACAGAGGGGCATACGCGTAAATTTCAAAAATTCAGATACAAGGTCCTTAGAAGAAACCTCCAGCTCAAGAGCTACAAGATAAAAAGAAATAAAACCTACAAGATAGTGGTTCCTTTGGGGGCAGTTCTTTAATTTCTATCATGTTTTCTCCTACTATTGGGGATTCATGTTTGATTGTGTATTTTTTAGCTTGGTGGTATTTTCTGGTTGGTGTCATGTTTTGGGTACTATATTGAGTGCTCTGCAATTGGGGAAGTATTTGTTCCCTTATTTGATTTTACATCTTTCTCTCTTGCAAGTATTGTTGATGATTCCTATCTGAGCTTTCAAGGTTTTTTTCGTTGTGGCTCTTTTTGGGTGGTGGCTTCACGCTTACCCTAGGTTTTATTCTATTTTCTTGTAATCTAGTTGGGATCTTGGGCTTCTTAGGTTTCTTTTTATTTTGGGTGTAGTACTTTGAGCATTAGTGGTTTTCGATCCCTTTACGCACTTGTAATCATTTTTTTGGATTAACACTTAGGCTGGATGTGGGTTTTAAATAATAATTGAACTCCACTTATGCCTATCCTAGAAGCATCACAAGTAACCTAAAGAACTTCAATTTTAAACTTTTGCATTAATTTTAATGAACCTACTTAAGCAAAAAAAAAATCTTTGTAGGAAAAACTTATTTTAAAAAAAAACAATCAAAATTATTTCTATAGAATATGATGAATCTCAATTGTATTTAATAGAAATAGGTTAGCTGATTTTTTTTTAAGCTTTATACGTTTAAGCTTGTTTCAAATTATTATTATTATTATTTAGAATATTGAATGAGTTTACTTGCAAATTCATTAAGGTTAATGGATCAGAAGTTCTCGACCACCAGGCCAGGTTGGCTAACATATATAGTTGCTCAAGTTTGAAACCCATGTGAGAGCTTTGAGGTTGTTGGGAAGATTATTTTACAGAGCTTCATTACTTCGAAAAAAGTTTAACTACTCAAAAAAGTACCCTAAGCATTTAAATGTTATTATTATTAAAAAGATTCTTCCACCAGAGACAATATTGATTTGTGATGATTTGAAATTTAGGCAGTACAACCATGCATGTGAAATTGAGCTAAAGAAATGAACCAAATAAACAAAAAGGCTATCAACCAAATTATGGGATAATCATTCAAGTGGAAAAGGCTTTGTGGCCCAGCTTTTGCACTCTATCTCATCATATGTGTCATCATTCACTTTTGCCCTTCAACAACATGCATCTTCCAACTTTCACTTTTTCACCGCCTCCCATTAAAAAATTCACCACTCTTAACTTTCTCTCCATAGTAAACTACCCTAAGCATGATAAAGGATACTCCACTACTCACAATAGCTTTGGATTCCCAGAAGATTACTCGCCCATACTTAGAAAGAAAGCTCTGTCTCCATTAAGAAAAATAAAATGGATCATACAATGGCAGGAGAACCAACATCCATGGCTTTACCATCAAACCTACATCAAGATCCCAACACTCTCCCATTAATGATCAAGAAGAAGAGGAATCTCCCAGGAACACCAGGTGATGATGGAAACTAATATATATAACAAAGTTTTCTTTCTCTTCTTCTTCTTCTTCTTCTTCTTCTTCTTCTCTCTCTCTTCTCTTAAACATTTTATCTATAAATTCAGATCCTGAAGCAGAAGTGATAGCTTTGTCTCCAAAGACTCTGATGGCTACAAATCGGTTCTTATGCGAGATATGTGGGAAAGGATTTCAAAGAGATCAAAACCTTCAGCTTCACCGAAGAGGGCATAACCTGCCATGGAAGCTGAGGCAGAAGAGCAGTAAGGAGCCACGGAAGAGAGTCTACGTCTGTCCTGAGAAAAGCTGCATTCACCATAATCCTTTGAGGGCGCTCGGTGATCTCACAGGAATCAAGAAGCACTTTTGCCGTAAGCATGGTGAGAAGAAGTGGAAGTGCGATAAGTGCTCAAAGAGATACGCAGTCCAGTCGGATTGGAAGGCTCACGCTAAGGTTTGTGGCACAAGAGAGTATCGCTGCGATTGTGGAACCATTTTTTCAAGGTATATATTTTAAGGAAATAAAAAGGTTTAAGAGAATTCTTAATTATCCTATTTAAATTTGACTCAATATACAAGATTCTTATTGTGAACCATAATTTCATAAATTTTATCTTAAGAAAATTTACTCTCTATATATATAATTTTTAAATATTATCATAGACCATAAAATAAATTTTAATGATTATTTAAAACACTCTTCTAGCTAGTTCAAAAAGAAATACATTGAATCATGAAGTATGTATATTTAGTTAGTTCATTACATCCTTATCCAATTTCCTTGAATTATAATAAGTATGGAGGTAATGGAAACTTTCAAGGCCGCTTTTGAAACATGCTTGCTAATTTCCATCGAATATTATTGTTAAATGTCTCCACAACATGCCACTCTTTCTAGTTTTTAGTTTTCGTTAAATAATTGCTTATAAAAATATAAATTTCTTGCAATCATCTCCTACTCGATTGCTCTCTTGTCAAATCGTTAAGATTTAAAGGCAAAAGGAGAATAAATGCATTTGTTAGGTAGTGGCAAATGTCTTTTGTCTGCTTCCTTTAGCCACTAATATTATCTTCTTCTTCATTTCAAACAAACAGGAGAGACAGCTTTATAACCCACAGAGCTTTCTGCGACGCACTGGCGGAGGAAGCCGCCAGGATCTCAGCATCTTCCAACATCAACAATACTGTTTCCATAACCAACATGATCAATTACCCGTGCTTTAATCCAAATCTAACAAGGCCCGCTTTACAACCTCTCCCAGAAGTTCCTGGTCTCTCGTTTTGGATGAACCAAGAGTCAAACGAAGCCATGGCTTATCCAAATCTCTCCCCTTATAGCTCTGGCTTGCTCTCCTCCTGCTCAAACGCCGAGCAACTCGAGAGTCAGTTGAACTGGATTTATAATGAAAGCAAACTCCCAGCTCCAAGCAATGGAGGAGAGCTTCCTATTAAGGAACCCTGCAACAATTCTTCTCTTGGATGCATGCCTTTTCTACTTAGTACTCAACGGGAGCACCGGCCGATGCCGGTGCCGGACATGTCAGCAACCTCGTTGTTGCAGAAGGCAGCGCAAATGGGTGTGGTCTCGAGCACTGGCCCTTCCCTTTTGGTGGGCTTTGACATGAAGTCTACTTTGGTCGGAGATTTACCGCCACCGCCACAGCCGGCAATGGCGAGCCTTTACAATGTTCATAAGTATGATATCGGCGTCGGAAGAGATGGAGGAGAGATCACTAGAGATTTTTTAGGTGTTGGAGTTCAGGCTCTTTGCCCATCCTCCGTAAGTGGATGGATTTGAGTCAAAGTTAGCTTCGGTTCTCTTAGCTTTCAAAAGAAAAAGTTGAGAGGCAAAGAGTACTAAAAGGAGGGAAGTGGATAGCTTTGCAAGAACGAGAAAAGGTGGAATGAGTGGTTAATGAAAGGTATTTGCAAGTATTGAAGTTGGTGAGGTTTTGGATTTAGGAGTAGGAGATCCATGAATATTCATTCTCTCATGGCTGCTTGAAAGAAAAAAAGAAGCACTTTTTTAGGATGGTTTTATGCTTTTGTCATGTGGAAAATGGTGTGGGAGAGGAGAAGGAAGCAAGGGAGGATATATCCTTCTGTTTATCTCTTTTATTGCCTTGCTTGATCTTCGAATGCTATCAGGTTTAATTCTCTTATCAGAGATCCTTGCAGCATTATCAAGTTACTAGATAGACAAACATTCCCTTTGGGACGTTAAGAGGAATTTTTCTTATAAAATACGGCTTAATAAATAATTATTCTTAATATTTTAAAAATGCTTTATATGATAGTTATAAAGATTTTGTAAAATAATTTTTTTTATCTTGTAAGATAACAATTAATATGTTAAAAATTATTCAAAATTGTTTTTGCATATCAGTGTGATTTTTTTTTTTAAATAAAACGTTAAGTTACATCCTGAGTAAAATTTTAGATCAAATGTTTCTTTACCAGGCTACTTTTAATTTATTATGTTACTTATGTGGAATTCCTTATAAGAGTTTACCAAAGTTTGCAGTTAGAATAACCAACCCATCATTTTTATATGGTATTTTAAAACCTTATCATATATGTTTGAGTTTTTTTTTTTTAATCTTGTGGTACTATTTTTAGAATTTTAATATAGAACCCTAATACACCAAATTTTTTTTAATGGGGTTAAAACCCACAAAGAGACATACACGTTAATAAATTAAAAGGATACAAGTCCTTAAAGGATAAGAAGTTCTTTAAAAGTACAGCATCAAAATAAAACCTAATGATCCTGAGATCCTATCTATTACATAATTAAGGAAGCCAAGAAACAAACCTAAGCAAAACAAGAAAAAAAAGGCTAGCACCAGCAACAAACCATGATCAGCAACACGAGCATCATAAATATCTGTAGAAAGCTAAGGATCCAAAGTAGAAAAAGGTCAAACCGAAACAAAGACAATGACAATACCACCCACATCAGGAAGACACCTAAATTAACAACAATAGAAGCCACAGACCCTAGAGGACAAGACAACAACACCAACAGCCACCTAACCACCAAAACACCCATCCAACAAGGACAAAAATAGAGAGCAAAACACCAAGCCAAACAGGACATAAATAGAGAATAGAACAAACCTCACGCCAAAAATAGCAAACCCAGCCAAAGTTATTTGACACTGGGTCTAGTTGGTCTGCCGCTAGAATACATGAATTTATAGCTCTTACATTTATTTTTCTTTCCTTTCTTACCATAACCCACAAGAAATTCCTCATTGAATTCCTAAACCACATTTAAATCACTACCTTCCAACAAATCCTTAGAGATGTCACCACAAGACCCACCAAACACATAATTTTCTTAAGAATTACATAATATCCAATCAGATTGATCAATTTTATCATACAAATTAGCTTTTTCGTCTCCACCATTAATAGGTGAAATAGGCAAGGAAATAACAAGTTCCATAGTAGAAACATCCAAAGCAGAATTAAAGAAAGTATTATCAATCTCAGGGCCAAGAGAACCCTCCTGAGCCTCAATAACCCCAACCGAAGAAATACCAATCTCAACAGCCATGATAGAAGCTATAACAGAGCTGTTAGCTCGACAGTCCCCAAGTTCAATGACGATCACATTAGCAACATCACCATCATTATGAAAATAATTTAAACCATAACCAACTATAACATGTTCAGCATCAATACCAACACCATCATTATAAGTAGGAGATGAGGTGGGACTCGTTTTTCACCATAAAAGTATTGACACCCAAAACATCATCAACACCCTCTCTATTTTCATAAAAAATATTCATAGGTAAAATATTTGGCTTTGGAGGAGCCATAATATTTTGAATTTCGTCACCAACCGGACCGACAACTCCATTGGTTCAAGCCTTATTATGGACAAAATTAACTTTCTCATAATTCATAATAGGAGGAGGATGCAAAATATGACAATCCAAATTTGAATGTACAAGAAACTTGCAATGAACACAATAGGGAGGAAACTCCTCCATTTTCACAAATTGAATATACCCGAACTTATCAGGACCAAGACAAACTCAATTAGGATAGCATTTAGTGATGTCTAACTCAATAAGAACAAGAACGTGAGTAATAGAAGGTCATGAACCAATCATAATGGCATTATCAGTTTTCTAAACAATGACCCCAAATCATGAAGGATACAAAGAGAAAAGAGATTGGGGGGG